AAAAAGTCCAAACATGTAATAATAAAAGTTATAAGATGATATTGAAGAAATATTTGGGAATAATATTAGGTTCCATAACCTACAGCCTACCCATATCCCATGCCTGTTTCTTCTAGGTTTTGTCTGAAGTTTCCATCAAACAATCCAACAGTAGGAAAATTCTGCACTCCAGAGAATCCAATTGACTCCACCTGCTTTAGAAAGTAATCCATTCGACGAAATGGATCAGAAGCACATACTCCAGCAAGCACGGGAACTGTCTTCACCACCTATACACATTTATAAGATACAAATTTTATTACCAATTATTGTATTAAACATATACTCATAAAATAAGAACGCAAAACTATGAAAAACTGAAAAATATTATGACATCTAATTAAGAAAAAATGAAGGGTGTATTCAGAATATATCTCTGTTTTTTGGGTCCTAAAGTATATTGAGTTAAATGTTTTGGGTCCTAAAGTATATTGAGTTAAATGTTTTGGGTCCTAAAGTACACTTCAGTGTCGACTCCAACATTATTGTCAAACCAAAAGAGGTATAGTATTACTCACTCAGGTTATTGGGAGAGTCCCCAAATAATCTACTGATATACCTAATGCTCCACGTTCAAGATATCCAGTTCAACAGGATATATCATGATGCTTGATTAAAGAAATCATATATAAGTCATTTTCAGCCTCAAAGCTATTCCAACTTTATCAATAAACTGATTTCACTTCTACACAGAAAAACATTACACCAATATTCATACATATGAAAATTTAGTTATACAATTTATTCTTCAATATTTAAGTAATGATTGCAAAGGGTTGAACCAAAATCTGATCAATTCCTTGAATTAATTTTGTGAATCAGCAGGTACATAGAACTTACAGGCAATACTTCATTGGCCATTTCAAGCACTATGGCATTCGCATCGGCAAAAGGCAGCAAACCTGCTAAAGAACCCCTCCCAGCCATGCGAAAGCGCCCTGAGTTGTACACTACTATCAGATCAACACCACCAGCTTCTTCAAACTTGGCAGATATGCCTGTCCCAGCACCGGCCCCTATTATGGGCACTCCTTTAAGCATTTGAGCTTTCAGGTTCTCCAATATATTACGTGTTCTTCGTGAAGTTTCTGTTTAACAATTGCAAGTTACGTGTCCACATTGACATAAATCAGATTATGCACCTTGAAATGCTAAATGCTGAAATTGAGTGTGCTTTCTAACAGTAAAAGGTCAAGAGAATGACATCGGAAATAACCTGGTCTTTTCTCTGGGAAGTCACTAGGACTGTAGCCAATGATTCGACCAGCAGATAAATTGGACTCAGAAAAGGAGTTTTTTTTAAGGTCTTGACTAGTTTCGGCCAAAACCATTTTTGGGCCACATGAGCCAGTATTTTTTGAGGTAATTTCCAAGAATGAGTTAACCAATTCCCCAGCAAATTCAGGATCATTAATATGATAAGGATACACATTGACCTGCATCATAAAGAGCCTTAAATTTACTGTAGGGGATAATCAACAGAGACGGGAACTTGATTATATTAACTTTATGAGTACCTTTCTATGATTATTTGATTGAATAAGCTTCTGTAATTCATCAATAAGAGTAGCAGTAGCCTTAGGATCATAAAATGGCTTCCCTGGTGCATCCAGAGCAGATATGCCCTTCTCTGGCAGGCATACACGAACCTTTGCTGATGAATTGTTCATCTTATCAGCTATAAACTTTGCAATTTTTTTGTTCTCATCCATTGTAGTTCGCATCAGAGTAACCTGAAAAATGAGCACTTTCCTTGTTGAATATGGATGAAGAAAAACAGAAAGAACATGAAAGAAACTAGTTCCAGCGAGAATGGAAACAGCCATGAAAAACTTTTACAAGTCTGGTTATAAGATTAGCGGATGTTAATTTACTGTCTTGAACAACAAGGAGAAAAATACTAAATTTTACATATTATAATGTTAAAAGTCAATTAAAGAAACTGCCAAAAAGAAAAAAAAGCAAAACAGAGCCAGATAGCAGAATCACCTGTTTATTATGTTCATATATATTCCTTCCATGAAAATTAGAAGGTATTGTATCTATTGATCCAAAGTTCACCATATCGAGTGCTCCTACACTTAGAACTAATGGGATTCTCTTTTCTATGATGGCATCAAAGCGGGAGCTGTCACAAGCCATAACACCTCCCATTAAATAGTCTGCGACCTCAGTTGTTGTGATGTCCAAGACTCCCTACGCAAGAAATGGTCAACAATAAAAATAAAGAAAGAAGGAAAATTGTTCGTGATCAAAGTATCTCCAACCAAGGGGGAAAAAACAGGAGGCAAGGGGGGGTTTGTAAAACATCAAATGTAATCGGAGAAGGGACTACGGACTCTCGTGGTTCTCTATATTCAATGATAATAATACTGAAATCCATGCTTTAATAGATTAAGAGAAATACAAGTAAACATTATTAGGTTTGAAATGATTAATAAGAAACAAGATTGCTCATGATAGAACAATTCTGAGCAATGTAAGGCCAGCCTCCTCCGCTATAAAATATATTTTAACAATGAGTTTTTCTAATTTTATAATGCATGTGAGTTATAACTTAATCAATAGCCGACAGTAAGAGACAAGCCGATCTCTCTTGTATTCTAAACATGCAGTATGTTTCCTAGTTGACACAGATCATCTCACGCTGCTACTCCAAATAAATAATTTTCTTTATAAAAGCACCTGGATAAATCCCTCTCTGACCAGAGATTCCATTGCCTTGCCCCCTATCCCAGTAGCATGAAAAACAAGGCACTCGTAGCCTACTTTAAGCAATCTTTCTTTGACAGCATTAACACAAGGAGTTGTAACCCCAAACATTGTTAAACCCACTGTTGGTTTTTCATTGAACTCAGGCGAATCATTAGACTTCTCAAGTCTTCCGATCACCATTCCAGCAAATGCAGCACTGGCATTCGAGAAAACGACCCTACTGACACTATTGATCCCGCACACATCCACTATAGACGGGAAAAGTATCAGATCGGATGTCCCGATATAAGATTCTGTTTGACCATTAGCAACAGTCGAGACGATAAGCTTAGGTATTCCAATTTGAAGAGATTTTAACGCAGAGGATATGAGAGATGTTCCTCCACTGCCTCCAAGTCCTATAGCTCCAGCAATAACTCCATCCTCCTGGGCTTTACTAAGGAAAGATTCGAGTGCTTTACTCATTATAGAGATTGCTTTTCCTCGGTCATCGGGAAGATGATTTCTAGTGTGATCATAGCAAGAGAGAACATCCTCCCTCGACACGAAGACGAAATCATCCAAACTCTCGATCACATTCTGCTGGCTGGTAGAAACATCAACAACCGTCACTTCAACCTGTCATTTCCATAACCAAGCACAGTCAACACAAGCACACGACGAGAATCGTAAATCAACAACAACAACAACAACTCTGCTTAGAGCCTTAGATAAAGTGAGAATTACTACCTTCTCTCTTTTTGTTCTTTTTGTTCCCTTCTATTTCAGTTTATAGAATTACGATATACGAGAATTTGGAGATCGAATACGCGTCGTTTACCTCCGATAGTTTAGTTAATCAAATTTGAAATCACAATCTCAACCGAATTGACGAAATCAAAACAATACATATGAAAAATTTATCACGAAAATCTTCACAACACACAACACTGAAAACAATAATTCGAGCACTCTAACCTTATGAGGAGAACCTCTAGCGAAGAAATTGAGGTTGGATCGAACTGCATCGGAAACAAATCGGAGCTCCTCCAGCTTTGTATCAGCCGTAGCGATACAGAAAACTCGGAGAGTTTTGCTTTCACCCCGTGTCGCCATTGTTAAGCTTTCTGTTCTCAGAGCTCCATAACTTCCGATTCAGGCAATGTATTAGAAGTGAAAAGCAATTAACTGCAAAAATAGTGATCAACTGTAAAAATAGTGAAAAGCAATTAACTGCAGAATACACTTATATTTCACCGTTAAAAATAACCTTGATTAATTTCAAATATATATTTAATTTTGTGATTTTTTAAAAAAATTAAAATTATTTTTTTAAAATACTTTATTTTTGTTTTGAAAACGGACTGAAATTTAAATATTTCCTAAAACAAAATGCAGAGTTTGGTTTTTAGGTGACAATTATGACATAGAAATTAAGAAAAAAACCGGCCCAATTAAAAAAATATATTTGATGTATATTAAAAAAATATTATGTATATTCAATATGGTTTAAACATTTTGTATTAAAAATGTGGTTCCGATATTTAAAATTTAAATTTGAGTTTATTTGATCTTAAACTTTAAAATTTGAAAGTATGAATATGTTTATGAATTTTAATTTTATATTGAATAAAATTTTTAATTTAATATTTAATAAATTTAATTTACTTTTAAAATTTTATATGGTGCCTTTTCATTTTGTATTAAAAATGTGGTGCCTTTTCATTTTATTTAATATAAGAAATTTAATTTACTTTTAAAATTTTATTATTAAAATATCAATTTGCGAAGTTGGTCGACGAAAATGAAAATAATAAATGTTATCCACAAAGAATTGAAGGTCGAACAAGATAAATCAATCTAAATACCCATATATATACAAGTCGCTTTCAACATGTTAGGTTCATTAACACAACTAGATCAGAGTATTTTAAATAATAACAAAATATATATTCAAGTAAAATATTTTGATTTATTAATTCATTTTATACGAACAATAAAAAATAAAAAATGACTCGTAATAATATTGACTATTGTGTGTATTTATATCTTTTTTCAACGGTTGACCTGCCGTATGGTACGATAATTTGTTTATATCTGCTACAAATATATATATTCGAATATTTATTCATAAATTATCATATTTTTATGAAACGGTCAATACACTCAATATTATAAAATATATTATAAAATGATTACAATTGTAATTTAAATTGACTTCAAATTCAAAAATAAATGTCAATTTAAACGAGTGACCAAAAATGATATTTTCTTTTTTTATTAACAAAATAAACTCAAAACATTACCAATCAAATGCAATTCAAAACTACAAAATTACAAATATACACTCAAATAATTCATAATTCAAAGGATAGAACAAGAAGGTTGGGTTTCATAAGGCACGACTATGTACGACGATCCATAAGGCGGGTAGGGAGGACATGTGCATATGCATGGTACCGGGTCGGGTTTCTTGTCCTCTGGCTTTTTCTCGTCGGGTTTGGGCGGCGGTCCAATACTCACCACCTCAACAACCTTGCCGGCCGAGGAAACCGCCTTCCTCGTAATTTTAACTATCTTGTACGGATCCGCCTTCCCGATCACGCCAATTGTCCCTTTCGCTTCATCTGTTTCGACCTTGTCCACGTCTACCCAAAAAATAATTCACTCAAAATAAAATTCAATTATTCATGGAAATAAATCAATTAATATCAAAGATATATAAATACCTTCGAGACTAGTAACAGCTTTGAGGACTTTGGTCTTGCATTTTTGGCAAGAAATGTCGAGTTTGAGGACGGTTTTGATGAGCGCCATCGAAATTTAGCAAAGAAATACACAACCAAAGGGCTTTGGTTTGCTCGTCAAATTGTATTGAAATGAATGGCATTGCCATGTTTTTATAGTCTGATGGTTACGATTTTATTAGTATTGATTTGATGGAGATTGGAGGGTAGTTTAGTTGAGAAGATTCAACGGTCAGATGGAGTAGTTAAACTCCTTTGACTAATAAGATTAATCCGACGGTCGTTGGTAATCTGACTCTTTCCACTAAACTCACCGGGGTTGTACCAATTGACGTGGATTTTCAATATTAGGGTTGTAATAATCATTAAGTTTTTACTTTTCAATAATTTATTCAAAAATAAATTCCAAAACTTTTAATTTATATGTATTTTTTTAAAATAAATAAATCATTGGTATTTCATTTTCATTCCATTAAATAAATAAATAAAATATTTTTAGAAGAAATAAATAAATGAAGTTGATAGCAATCTTTCAACTAAAGATTTTAATATTCGCATGAATTTAGAAAATAGAGAAATTATAATGATGTTATTGGCGAGCTTTCGACACGGAAGAAATTCAACAGTTTAATAATGAAAAATGCTAAATAATTATTATTTTAATGCTTTTTTTCTATTTTCTTGTTGTATTATTCCAAATAATTATAATAAGTGATAAATAAAAACAACTTAATTAATCAAAAGTTATTATCACATAATTTAATCAATTATCTTATTGGCATTAACGAATTAATTAAAATATGAATTACTTTGTTGATTTTTCTATTGTATTTGTGTTCAAATTTTTAAAATGCCCAATGACGTAACACAAAATATAATTAACCAATGACCAAGACATTCAAATATTGTCCAGGGTTAGATTTTGAAATACCCGAAATACTTTTTCTTTTTTCTACGGACTAAAATAAACCTTTTAAAATTTCGAAATAAATATAACATTTAAAGAGAACGTAATACTTATGAAAAAGTCGTTTAAAATTCGTGTGGGCCATTAAGTTAATTGAAACGAGTTTTGGAGTCGCAGGTTCATTGACGAGTGTAAGAATAAAAAAATATGATTGAACAGAGAGAAGGTAACAATCAAAACCCACTACTATCACGGTGTTCGCTTTGTTGTCTTTTAAAGTTGATTTGTATTTGAATCGTGTTGAAAGTTTAATTGGTTGATATTATCTGGTCAGATATATTATTATTATTGATTCTACTTGGTGTAATAATTAATTATAATTTGATATTTAAAATTTCAAATTTACATATGGGCATTTTAAAAAACAAATAATTATAGTCTACATCAAATGTAGGAATACTTGACTTTCGTAGGGGCTTCTTAACAAATACCAAGTCATGGGGGCCTCAATTTGCAATAATTTATTGCAAGGACAGATAATTTCGAATATTTTGTAATAATAATAAAAACATTATGTTGAAAGAGATTGGATGACATAATGACGTCAGCAGGGGCCGAAAAAATAAAGAAAATGTTTAATGGAAAATATTGCTGGCAAGTGGCAATGACAAATAAGAAGATTTTAAAAGTCATTATGTCGACAATATGATAATAAAAAATAAAATTATAATTTATTCCAAACAAAAAATTGAATGCAGATCTGGACGGCTAGAAGACTTGGGGAAAGTCACGCGATGACACGAAAGGAATTGGGGAATCAAAATTTAGGATGTAATTAATATTACAAATATTGAAATAAATAAATGAAATATAAAGACAGCCTACAATTTGTATTTATTTAAACTAAATGTATTAATTGGATTATTCGAATTATTGGGCCTTTCGAAGGATTGAAGGAAATAAGATGTTACGGGCCAATGATATAAAATGGGCCGTAGAAAGATGAGACGGCCCAAATTTAAAAAGATATTTGTCTCATTATTTTGAAAATTAAATGAAGAACTAAATAGAAAATAGAAAATTATGAAAGCCAGAAGAGTAATTAACGAACATAACAGAACAACAACATATTTTTCTGCAAACTAAGATTTAAATTTTACTGACAGTGACCGCCATGTTTCTCTCACTTCATTTTAGTGAGAGAAACAGTGACATTGACGAACTCAGGCTTCTCCTTGGCCATTCGATCCACGATAATCTCTCCATATCTTATGAATAATTCATCCATAATTGCTTCGCCAAAATGGCTTACCAGAATTGGCTCAGCCACTGCCCTCATGTACTTGGCTACGTTGTACCCACCAGCTCTTAACCCGTTGGATTCGTCGTTGTTATTATACACATGCCAATCCACTTTCGAAACTTGGATTCGATTAACCACAAAAGAGCCTTCTTTTCCAATCTCGATACTCATTTCTGTTGGCGATGGCATGTACTTGGGAAGGTTGAAACTTTCAAGCTTCTCCTCTTCTATCATTCCCTGTGATTGGTTGATGCAAACACAAAAATGATCAAAACCCTTTTGTGTGCATGTTCGTGTTATAATATAATGTCACAGTCAAAATGTTCGAATACCTAATTGTTGTAGTGGGAGCAGAGTCAAGATCGATTGCACTCACATATACCGAAACAAAAATTAAATAAAGAGACACAGACTTTGTATTTAACTAAAGTGTTTACAAGTGTATCTATCACACTCTTCCATTAGAAAGTCTTTCAACAAAGTTTCTTCTCATTGCTTGTAGTCAAACATGAAATGACTACGACTCTACCTATCAAAACAATACTACGACAAACGTTTATATAGTCGTATCAATACTAATTCTCATACATTAATCAAAACAACATTAATATTCATACATAAATTAAGATGATACATGTGTCAAAATGAAATATGAATCAAAAGAATTATAAACCAAATAAACGAGAGCTATGATCGGAAAGAATTATGAACTAAATAAATGAGAATTTGAATAAAAAAGAGTTAGTTATGAATCAAAATAAATGATAATACATGTATGAGCTTATTCTTTATGACAACTTACATCAATTTGAATGTTATCGTTTATAAATTTTGAATGGAAGGTACCTGAGAAACGATGTCATTGAGAGCCATAGCCAAGAGCTCCCAAATGTAGCAACACTCCTTGCTCGTTGGATCTTCGCTGCTTCGTCCCAAGAGCGTCAGAACCATGTATCCTCCATCCACCAATTCTTCAGCCCGACATCGAAGAAACAATGAAAAGTCCTTTTGAAATTGGTCGTAGTAAGCCTTCAGCACACTGGCAGGGCTTGTTTCAGCCATGTAAATGTTTCTTTTATTCTCTTCCAAACCTTCGGGAACCTTAGACAGCCAATGAAGACTGTAGGAAGAATGAATAAAGTGGACACTCCTACTGGGAAACAGCCTGCCATAGAAGGAGCCAGGCACCCCAGTAAAGAGACAAGGCCCAAGATCAGCTCCCATCTCCTTTTTGAAATTTTCATGGAAATTAGGGAGGGCCTTGAAGATGGCGTTGAAGTCATTGCCTGGTAGGTCGTTTAAGAAAACTTGATATTCAATTGGGTTGTTGCAGAGGTTTGTACGAATATTCTCCACTGTTTTAATGAGCTGGGACACTGCCATTAAAGTGTTTGGTCCTGAAGAACATCCCAAATCAGCTATGGTGAACGTTGTTGGCAAAGTGGAGCAGTAGAGGCTGCTGATGGCTTCCTCTGCAATTGGCCTCGTCATTGATATCACCTTCAACTGAGTCAGTTCAAACAAAATTTGAATAATTTGAGTTTGATTCAAATAAACGAAAATTTGATGCATTGAGATATTGTCAACTTTGATCATTAGGTTGTCACTCTACCAATCAACCTACCAATTTTATAAAGGTAGAATGAAAAATGTTTTGTTCCACTTTCCAACTAAACTAATGTGGCATCTCACATTGATACCATTCATAACAGTTTTGAGTAGATATTGTCAGCTTTGACCAGTTACATATCATAGCGGCCAGTCTCACAATTTTAAAACACATCAATTAAAGAAAGGTTTCCATCTATGGTAAGAAATAAGGATCAGTTGGTGGAACAATTAAATTAGATATAAAACAATCTCGACCTCACTCAACTCAATAGAACATCGGTACTCGAAACAAAAAATTGCTGACCTGAAGAAGGGAATTATTAGCATAGCTAAAATCTCCAGCTCCTCCATTCATGTGAAGAACTCGAAACACTTCCATCGGTCTCGTATTGTTCTCAAATTGAATACTTTTTTGAGATGGGATGTGATTTGGGCATGGGGAAAGTGGCTCGTATTTAAAGAGTTGTGGTGGATGTTGAATCAATATTAATTATTTTATATTTATTTTTTCATTTTGAATTAATTCGTATAGATATTTTATTAGCTTTTGTTTGATGTTACCTTTCATGGTTGCAGTCATCCATTTAGTTGAAGTGTGAAAGTAAGAGGATTTCACATCTACCCAAAAGGAATCAAATAATTTAAAAACGTGTAAAAAATGGAAAATTAGGTTTATTTTTATTTTTGTTTTTATAATTTAATAAAAAAATTATGAGCTGTAAAATAATTTAAAACGATAAAAATTAATTAAGTATTCCTCACATTTAAAATAATTTTAAAACGAGTAAAATGTCTATTTATACTCCATTTTAAAGGCGAAAAATAAGAACAATAATTGAATACGTCTGTCTTATTTTCAATTTATAAGAATAATAAATTAATTTCTAGAAGAAAACATTCTTAAACACTTTTCTTTTTTTTTTCTTTTTTTTAACGAAAAATGGTTGTAACACTGTTTTGAAATAGTCAAAATGAAACTTAATTATTACAAACCTTAATTATCTACAAACATTTTTAATATTTTTGTCCTAACATTTTTGTCCTTTTCAGACAAACAAAGACTAATTAACTTAATTTAATTCAATTGGACTCATGATTCATAACTAATTTTTATTTGTCCTAATTTTATATAAATTTTTTAATAAACAAATGGAAATATGAATGACTTATTTTTATTCTTGATAAATATGATATTTTTATATTTCAAAAGAAATTATTTGTTTGGTCAGATTATATTTTAAAAAAATACAATTTTAAATTCTCGTTCCTAAAATATATTATATGAGTTTGAATTAATAAAAATAGATTTAACAGAGACCAAATTTAATTATTACCAATTTAACCGTTTAATATCTTTGTCCTTATCACGAACAAGGACAAGGACAAGGACAAGGACAGACATTCACACATGGTCTCTAACTAACTTAATCTCATTCAATTCTACTATATAAAATTTTTAATAAACAAATGGAAATATTGAATGATCTCTTTTTGGTGACGTACTTTTATTCTTTAAAATGTTAGTGTAATTAAAATATGTGATAAAGATGATATCTTAAAAGGAATTATTTGTTTGGTCGGACTATTTATATATATATATATATATTTAAAATTCTCATTTGCAAACGGAATGGACCTAAAACATCTTGTTTGAGTTTGGATGGGTAGCCCAATTTCCTAACGTTCAGCATCTTATAAGCCTACCTCAACCTCCAATAGTATTAGGTCCATTTGAGAGATTTCCTTTAACCGAACGTCGCTCGTGTACATTCTCGGTGGAGCAGAGGAGACGATTAGAATAACAAAGACAATATTGTCTACACTCGAATTAGCTTCCGAGAACTTGAGAAGACTCTAGTTGATGTTCAATCGCATGCATCTCTCATGTTACCAATTTCGTTAGCATCGGACCATCTACAACATTTAGTCATTCACCTGGTTTACGAAATGTATTAGGAATCATGACTCTCTACAATGATATGATATTGTTCATTTTGAGCCTAAGCTCTTCTCGGTTTGCTTTAGACTTTCAAAAAAGAAAAAGGAGTGTTTAGGGTCAAATTAGGCTTTGTATAACCACCGAGAACAAAATAATGCATAACTAAAAATTCGGTCCGTTCAAGCTCATAATAAGAACACATGAATTTAAATCTCAGCTCTCCTCCTGGACGAAGCGATTCATCTCAAGGAGAGAAACCCTTTACCAAGTTCCTTCAATTTCCAATTGGTTTGACCCTTGCAGCCCTAGCCTTCTTCAATCTCTCGATGTTTCTCATTCTAGCGAAGATCCTTCTAATTTGATACAGCCTGCGGGATTGTTGGGTTATCACGTTCGCCGTTGAAGGGTTTTGGCTTAGGATTATCTCATATCCATCGCGAAAAGAATCCATTCCTTCCGTCAGTAGCTGCCAGAAGAGGCCCCCAGCGGCGGCGCCACCCCTTCTCGCAGATGAGTATATTTTGGAGTATACGGTATTGAATAGAACATCCCTTCCTTTTGTGCTGAAACCTGGAACCTTCCATGATTTGCCAAATTCTGTGAGGAGAATTGGCTTGTGTAGTATGTACTGTGCATCTTGTATGTGGGTTGATATCCAATTGTTTAAGAATGATAGCTGGTATTGTTGATTTGAGCTTGATAACCTGTGGATTTGAATTTGGGTTTAAAATGTTGTGAGAATTGACATAGATTGGTTTTGAAAGTTTTAAGTTCTTACCATTGATCAGGATAGGAATGAAGAGTAGCAAAATCAATGCCTGGGATTCTGTTGTTTGCAATGAAGTCTGTCCCAATGTTAAAACCTGGGTTCAGTCTCATTCTTTGAGGTGATGAGTGTCCATAGAATCCTTCTAAACCTGCTTCTAGCAAGTGGTTTCTGTCAATAGATTTCACAAAGGAAGCCATTTCCATGATCCAAGCCTACATTTAAACCAACAGTGTAAGCTTTAAGATTCATTAAATGAACTTATTGTAATAACTCAAGTCTACCGCCAATAGATATGATCTGTTTTGGCTCGATACTGTCTGCTAGTGAGAAGTTTCCACACCCTTATAAGAAATGTTTTGTTTCCCTCTCCAACCGATGTGAGATCTCACAATCTGCCCCCCCTTGGGGGCCCAACGTCCTTGCTGGCACACCGCCCATTGTTTGACTTTAATACCATTTGTTACCGTGTTTGCTAGGGAGAGGTTTCCACACCCTTATAAGGAACGTGTTCCCCTCTCCAACCGATGTAAGATCTCACAATCCACCCTCTTGGAGGACAGCGTCTCACTGTTTAGCTCTGATACCATTTGTAACAACGTCTGGTAGAGAGAGGTTTCCACACCCTTATAAGGAAGGCTTCGTTCTCCTCTCCAACTTATATGAGATCTCACAATCCACCCCTTGGGGGCCAGCGTCCTCGCTTGCATACCGCTCGGTGTCTGGCTCTGAAACTATTTGTAACAGTCTAAGTCGGCTGCTAGCAAATATTGTCCGCTTTGATCTATTACGTACCAGTTTCAAAACGCGTATATTAGAAAGAGGTTTCCACACCCTTATACGGAATGTTTCGTTCCCCTCTCCAACCAACGTGGGAGAGGTTTCCACCCCCTTATAAAGAATGCTTTGTTCCATTCTCAAATCAAGTTTTCCACACCGTTACGAATGGATAGAGCATTATAAATTCTTGGATAATGACAGTGATTGGGCTTGAATGAACCTTTTTCTGATAACTCAGATCCACGAAGGGGAAAACCAGAACTCACTTGGATTGTTCTTCCAGATGGGTCTGATGTGCATCTAGGCTCATTCATAAGCTCCCAGGCCATAATTGTTGGATCATCCTTGTAATGAATTCTACTAAATCTGTTGTATCTGTAAAGAACGGTCTGAACAAACATGAAATGAGCTTCTGCTTCTGTTCTTTCTTTTATGAAGAAACGAAAGAACAGAGGAAATTTCACTCACCCTGACATGGTTTTTGTAGAATCCCTTCACGACAGGATTCCTGAAGAAATCATCATCAGAATTCAGGTACTGTCCCTTACTTCTTGCCCAATTTACATACTGTTTTTTCCCTCCAAAGTTCTCATAGTTGTTAACCAAGCTCAATATCAGCTTGATTCCAAACCTCCTGGCCTCAGTTACAACAAAATCCAACCCCTGTGGAAGAACAACATAAATCAAACCAAAAAAAGAAACATAAAACTGTCTGAATCCTGAAACATACCTGAAACATTTGTTCATTGTAGTTGCCAGGAGCATATTGAAGAGGTCTATACCCACCATCGCTGAAAGCCCAAGTTCTAGCAACCGTAAGGCCATGGCTTGAGGCTTCACGAAACACGGCGGAGACCTTCGACCTCTGAGATGGGTCGGAGGCGACATACATTAACCAGTAGGCATTGAAGCCGTTTGCATAGTAAGGACTACCATTCAGCAGAAAACGAGCTCCCCCAGTTCTGACAAAACCATCTCCTGCAACACCATGAACCAAAATAGGCAATAACAGAGCCAAAGCCCAAAGCTTCATGTCTGTTCTTCTGATTCTATCAATGGGTGTGGAAGGGCTTCGGCTACTTTCTGAGCATAAATGGGAGTGGAAGGTTGCTTTTTGATGAGCCCCACAGTAGAAGAATCTTAGTGGAAGCTCTTTTAAAGCTAAAGATTATGCATTAATTGCGGCATTTAGCATGTTTAGAACTTCTAATAGATCCTAATTAAGTCCCTGATTCTCCTACCGACAAAAAAGGCAGCTCCCATTTGGAGTTTTTTTGAAAATGGGCATCCCCACATGAGTTCCGACAGGTATTGTTTGAACTTTGATCTGGTGCATTATGTGATTATGGTATAGGCTAAACATGAATTATGATGCTAATCATGGTGATGACGAGAGTAAAATGATGAACAATGATGGATTATTACTGTGGTTGTAGGTGAAAAGGTGTTGATGGGGGGTTTGAGAAATTAATGAAAGTTGAGTGGTGTGAAACGTGAAATGGAGAAACTTTAGGGCTAGATGGCAAATCGTCGGCGCAATCTACGGAAGAAGACAGGTGTTAGTGTGATCTACTTTCCCACCAATCCCAACCGTATCCTTATCCTGCCTACTTTCTTCTTTTCGGCTTCTCTCTCTAACGAGCCCTTTTCCAATGGGCTTGGGCCTTTCTTTCAAGCCCAAGTTCTTAGCGTAATTGAGATTAAATATTGTAGAAACCATAAATAAAAATTGATTTACATGTTTTTTTTTTAAATCTTGGTTGTTTTTATTTTGGGAATTTTGATTCGATCGATTAACAACTCAAGCACACCGTTAGCAAATATTGTCATATTTAAGCTTTGATTTCAAAACACACGAGATAATTCTCCACACCCCTCTTGGGGCTTAGCGACGCTCATTGGCATATCGCCTGATGTGTCATCTCACAATTCACCCCTCTCGAGGCCCAACGTCCTAACACATCACCTAATGTGTCGTCTCACAGTCTACCCCTCTCGAGGCCCAACGTCCTAACACATCGCCTAATGTGTCATCTCACAGTCCACCCCGTTCACCCCTCTCGAGGCCTAACGTATCGCCTAATGTGTCATCTCACAATCCACCCCTTTTGAGACCCAGTGCCCTCATTGAATATCTGGCTAGCTGATATTGTTCTCCTTAAGCTTTCCCTTCTAAACACGTATGCTAGGGAGAGTTTCCACAACCTTATAAGTCGAGTTCTAACGTATAAAACCACTTCCTCGTACTAAATTAGTAAAAGTCAATTATGCCCATTCCTGACCTTACAGATTAGAACTCAACAAAACTCTCATTTACGGCATCAATTAACTGCAAACATTGAAAGCTTATTCAATAGACAAGAAATTATGGTTCTCAGCGCTCACAACAGCTATAATGGAAGGATGAAAACAGGCATTATTCATTCAGAAAGAGTTCATCACAGAGTCCCAACTCGTCTCCAAATAATTGTTTGATGCTCAACGCAGTATTCCATTACAGTTAGCAGTAAACGGAGTGTACATCTTGCCAAAAATTTCAGGTGTTACATAACCCTGTTAGATCTGGAAAAAACAAAATATATATCTCAACAATCAACCCATTTCTTTCACCTTTAATCATCATAAGGGCCGATGATTTATAAGAACTATACCTTCGGCATGTGAACACTTCTGACAAAAGCAACGTTTGATATCAACATTATACCAAATGTAATTGATGCATGCCTCCTCTTTTATTTTTCCTTCTATAACACGGTACATAAACTACTTCCTTGTGTCAGCAATTATCAATCTGTTGCATCATCATGCTCGGTGGCCTTCGAATCGTTGATGGATGACGAATCTTTTCCTGATGGAAGGTACGACCAAGCTAAGACTGCAGTGCCGAGTGTGATTGTGGTGGCAACCGAACCCCACATCCATCTCAGCCTCCTTTTCCTTCTCAGCCTCTCACGCCGTGCCAAGTCTGGAAACCAAATAGGTAGAGGCAAAGCTTAGCCAATAACACAGAGAGATTCAACAACACATAAGCAACAGCAACAGAGAACTAAAGCAAAAGGGGATCATATGACAACTTATGCAAGAAAAAGCACCAAGGCGAAATCGGGTAGCACCATAGGATGCATAGAAAACCAATGGATCTAAAGGATTCCCGTTCTACAACGTGCGCAGTTTTGACAACCCAGACCAATTGGAACAAGAAAAACCCATATTGGATGGGCACTAGGATCCATGGAAATGAAAAAGAAAACAGATTTACATACAAATACTTTCCTGTTATATTCCTTCAAGATTCATCAATAACAGTGGATCAGAATAATCATATCGAATTGTTCTACAGTAGACAACAACACTTAATGATCTGTTCACTCAAAATCATCAACATTGAGAGATCAGAATAGAAGAATAAAAGTCGAGGTTAACAGATTCTTACCTACAGCCTCTTGATTCCTCTGGGACATCTCATGATTCACTGCCTCGTAGTAATGGAGCCGGTCCAACAATCGAGCAATCTCAAAATTCTTAGCTTCAAGCTGTGCCTCCATCTCAGTCTCCACCTCTGCCCTTGCTATACCCCTTCCAATAGAACCCGAGACGAACCTAGCAATATTAACTTGTTGGCACAATTCTTCAGCAGGGTCAGAATATACGAGATTCCCATTTGTGGATACTGTGGGATCTGAAGGAAGGGTCAATCCTACAAGCGATAGATGTTCTCTAAGCCTCTGCCACTGGCCCCGCAAATTGTCCAGTGCTTCCTCAGCCTGCTTTCGCTTCTCTAGTTCCATCAATAGGGATAGTCTCATTTCACGCAATTCAGCTTCAATAACAGAAATAGAAGGATGTGGCAAACCATCAGAGGACATCTCTGCAGAAAAGAAACGAAGTCATAAGATATTGAAGTTGACTTCAAGTTCGAAGTCATAAGATATTGAAGTTGACTTCAAGTTGGCAATCATATTTTATGGAAGTTATTCAGAGACAAATTTACTATTGAATTTCCAATCTCATGGAAACCCCTTTTCACTCCGCTTAGCCCTATACCCCGTAGGGATATTTTAGTGATAGGTTCTATAGGAACTGAATGATCCTATCTGATCAAATACCTAGCGATAAACTCTTATCTTCCTTTCATTACAGTATTTCTGACCAAGTTCCCGAATAACAACCCTAAGGGTTTTCTTATTGATAATAGTGATGATATGGATGATAGTGACAAGAACAATATGTAGAATGAAATTATGCAATCAAAAGGTATAACTGAATAACATTTTCTATGCATAGAATAGTGATTACCTTCCCAAGCATCATAAAATTCCCCCATAGGAGTACAAAACTTGGCTGAACGTTCATAGCCATTGTCCTCTCCATCTGTGTTACTCGCAACGCTCAAAGAATCCTGTGGGTCGAAGAAGTCTTCAGCATCTCCAAGACTGTCCAAAGTTGGCACAACAACCTTCAATGAATCCTTTTCCCGAGCAACATCATTGCTCACCATCATACTACTTCCGTTATTAGTGTGATTGCTCCCGTGTTGAACAGCAGTAGCACCATGATCACCATCAACACTACCATTTTGACCAACATTACTACTAGTAGCACAATCTTGGCCATTTCTTTGTCCATCTTTGTTCGGAATAGGCAAGTCAACAGTAACAGAAGCACCCTCACTCAACTTTACATCATTGCTATCTGAACCATTCACATTCACATTTCCTATATCGTTATCATTAATTTTTTGACAAGAAGAGACCACATCCTCAGAGAAACTCTTCAAAAGTCGAGGCCCACGCCGCTTGTGATTGACAATATAAGGGGAAGGAGGAAATGAAGATGGTGAATCCGGGAGAGGAGTTGCCTCCGGAGTGGTATACAAAGCTGGCTTTATTTGAGGCCGCTGAACTTTTCTTTCAGCAGCTGATGCGCTGTTTCTCCTCTCCAAATTCGTGCTAGGAGCACGGTTAAAGGTCAAAGCAGGCATATGTTTAGGAAGGGGCTTATCGACAGATTTGGACGTTCCAGGTTCTAACAACCTATCCAACGCAATTGTAGTAAATGTTGGCATGATTCTGCATTCGAAGGTGCAGCAAATCCAGTGAGTATATAATAATGCCAAAACCACAATCGAGTTGCACTAATTAAGACAAAACATTGCTACAGCCTGAAGCAAACACCCCCCCTAAAAGTCCCATTCAGCCAAATTTTACACAACAAAGCATAAACCAAACCTCGGAATTCAAGAACTAGCTATTTCACACACAAATTGCACCAAAAACAAAAAACATGTACATCCAAAAAGAATCAGAAAGCTAGACCTCTCCCCAAGCATGAGAAAGCGTTTCAAAACAAAGACACCCCCCAAAAAGAAATCGTATGAAAAAATCAAAACTAAACGAAGAAAAACAGAAACCCAATATAACCCATCAAGGATTCTCAGATGTCGCGTACACCCATCTCCCAAAAATAAAAAAACAAAACATCCCAGAACACAAATTCTACATACCCTTTATTCAAACATCCAACAAAATCACCTCAAAAAGGAAGATGGAGGCAGAAAAAAAAAACCCTAGGCGCAAGAGGTGAGAAGGAAAGCAGAGGATCGGGGAGGAGTCGGAAAGTTGCAAGAGAAGACAGAAAGTCCCATTTTAGAGTATCGATTTGATTCCTATGGACTCTTCCCCGTCGTTCATAAAAAGAGGATGAAAAATAAATGGGGTTGGAGAAAGAGAGATGAGGGAGAGATTGAAAACCTCCTCTCCAAGTTTTTTGTGTTTTCCTCTTAGGGGTCGCAAAGACCGCCACTTCTCTTCGCCTTGTCGCACACGCAGCCAGCTTCTCCGCAAATATTTGAAGCCCTTCTTCCTCCCTCCTTTCCTCCTCTCCTATTTTCCTTTATACCGATTACGAATCCCCCACCCCCACCCCCACCCCACCACTCTCTCTTTTTCTTTTTTGCCCTTTTTGCCCGTGGAACTGACCGGCATTTGAAAAGTCGGAAATACCCTTCCTCGCTCTTTGGAAAGCCTAATTTGAATTGAGCTTTCCCCCCGACGTGTCGTCCAACCAAGGAGCTGTCCTTTTTCTTTTAATGAAAGGAACGTGTTGTACGGTGTCGTTTTGATGATTGCCTATTCCAACATTTGGTATTGAAATGCGTGACTTGTAAAAGTGCCCTAATTTCGTTTGGTACGGTCATTACCACTCTCTAAAGTACTCGCTAATTAATTTAAATATTTTAATAATTTTATTAAATTTATGACCAATCAAACATTTTAAATTTTAAATTTTAAGTGATATATTAGATATAATTTTGAATATAATAAATGAAAGCGCTAAAATAAAATACTCTATGGTCAAATATTTTAAATTTAGTCCTCTTATTCTTTGCTTCTCATATAATATTCTACTAATTTAATTTTTTAAAATTTAAATTTTAATATACTTCAAAAAATCTATGTAATATAAAAAAATTAAATAAAAGAAAGGTTTGTAAAAAACTTATTTAAACTCATATCTTTAGTTTCAGAACAATTTTATAAAATACATTATCTCCAAAATTGATAAAATAAAATAAAAATTTGCCTTTGAAATTAAATTCCATTAACAAATAATATTAACCATTTAAGAAAAATAAGAAAAACAAATAAATTCCCTAGACTTTTCCAGCTGTACAGCTATGATGATGTCACTTCTATATATAACACACAATCACACACGTGTATATATATATATATACATATATTATTAAAGGAAAATTAAAGCGTGAAATTACGAAAGGGTAGGTGAGGTCAAGGGATGGGCAATGGACAATGTCGACGGCACTAAAAAATGGAAAAGTCAAACATAGCTTTTGATTTTGAGTTGACAATATCTTTTTTTCTTTTTAGATGAATAATAAAATTTTTAAAATTATTATTATTATTTTAATTTGGTCGGGATTAATTTTTATTTCTAAAAAAACATACATTTTCCACGTGTTTATAATTTTAATATTGCTATAAACGACAAATCATCATTTTTATTAAACCGTGCCAAATTGATCAAATGTTTTAAAAATAACAACAAAAATTGGTCCAATGTGAATATAACGTCATGGATAAAGTTGCAATTTTTCTATTTATTATGTCAATTCGAAGAGTAATTGTAGAAAAAAAAAACTCATTAATTCAATGAAAATATTTGATTATTACACCAATTAAGCTATAAAATAACTCGGTCAAAATTTTTATACAAAGTTTAATATTTGATTATTACACCAATTAGGCTATAAAATAACTCGGTCAAAATTTTTATACAAAGTTAAATTTGATTAATACACCAAATAGACCATAAAATAACTCCATCAAACTTACAAACTGCACGCTCGAATATTTAAAATAAGGAAATTTGAATTTTGTGTGATTTCATATTTAGTACTAAATTATAGTTTAATATATATCCTATTTAATATTTTATTATAAGATAAATATCTAAATATTTGACTTTTTTAGGGTAGTATTCTTACATTTATTGTTCTTTCTATTTATTACTATTTTCATATCCTGTTAATTTATTTGATTACAAACAGAGAACTTTCACACACCATTTAGTTGAGATTTAGTTGAGGTGGATTAAGCAAACATTCTCACGTGATCCAATTTCATCTTTTACCTAAAATAATTTTGAAATGAATGTTATAATGCATATAGGGGGTAAAGGTAAATAGAGTAGCAGAAGAAGAAGAAGAAGAACAAATATGAATTGAATCATTTATAGTAGATTACAGGAGCATTTGCTTTCAAATCCCACAGGCCTCCCTCCTTCACATACTCCAGATACCTTGCAAATTCAGGCTTGGCCGTTGACTTTCTCTTCCGACCAAAATCAAAGAAATTAAAAAGGGCATGTCCTTTGCTAGCTTTCTTCGACTGCTTCAGTTTTGCTTGAGCAGGCACGGCAGACGTCGGATTTCTCGACCCCGAACCGAGTACTATGGTTGGTACACTGGCTGTCCTCTTCAGCCGCCCTTCCATCAGGCTAATGGTGGGATCCTCCATGAGATACTCGTACCTGTGAGGACATCTCCTGGTACTCAAAGCTCTCAACATGGCTACCAAAAGCAACAGAAAATGAAAGCTTAAGCAAGAGAACAGGAAGGGTGTGCTGCTTGCTCAATTGTGCAGAATGGAAGGCCAAGAGGGTTGGTTGGTTGCGAGAGATTTGTGGAAGGTAGGTTGTAGATTTATGGGCTCCATTTGGTCAAGATTGGATTGCTAAATGCTACGAAGTTGCAATAGTTTGACTTTTCTTTCTGTTAATTACATGATCAACAAAGACGGCTGGGGGTTTCCTTGCACGTGCTTCACTTGCACATTTTCACTTAAAAAAATGAATCAATGATAGGATTGTTTCTCCTTCTTCCTCAAAGCTTCAGTTCAACATTTTCATACACAGCAAAGAAGGTTCCAGTACACAAACATGGTGGCTCTATTTTTCATTTACTTCTACTTGGTTTCACTATGATTCCATTTCAACTTTAGGAGTAGAATTCAAAAGGGTTTGATGAGCATGGAGTGTACACTTACCAGCACTACTAAGTAATACAGGTAGTAGCCCAAAAGTGGTAGATTTATAAATTTCTCTTCATAGACAACGAGCTTAGGCTACCGCTCTTCCGAGTTGAATTTGTTCCAAGCTTCCTGAGAATCAAAGACAACCCAGAATATTAGAGGCAGTTTATACACCTTTGCAATGCTTGTTCACAGGTGAACAAACAAATAAGAAAGCACAAGTTCTAGGATTGTCGATATCGGTATGGGAAGAAAGCTATAAAGGATAACCTCAAATTATAATAATAATAGAAAAGAAGTGGAGATGATTACCACTTAATTCTTTCTTCTAATGAATATAAAAAAAAAAAAAAAAAAAAAAAAAAAAAAAAAAACTGTAAAACAATACGGCATATACTCGTTAATAGCACACCTTTAGTAGATCAAAGACCTTCTCACATATATACTTTTGCTGAATACTTGCACCCCGTTGTTGTAATTTGTCTGGATGAACACACAGAGTGGCTTTCCTGTACGCTTTCTTTACAGCAGCTGCAGTAATAACTTCCGTTAAGGGAATGGGCTGCCAACCACTACCAGGTCCAAGGATCTGCAAGCAACATGATAATTAGTTCTATAAACCGTTGCAAGTGCTTATGCCTAAAAAACCATAGATTCAAGCTCGGTTAATAGCTTCACCCTATTTATTGTAAATAAGGGCTTGGTCTGAATCTTTTACAACTACGTTCAACAAACCCAAATCCAATATATTCTAGATAAATTTTGGTGAATCTATAGGGCAGGATAAAGCTAGACAAGGCTTGCAACGAATCAACAGAAAGTTGTACAAAGGAGAAGGGGAACCGTAGCAGAAACCACATTACACCTTGAAAATTCACCACAAGATTTGATACCCCACAGCAGAGGACACAACCTAGCAGATAAAAGTAAAAAATAAACGTACATATTGAAGTGTAGAAAGCAAGGCACGCAAGTTTCCTTCCTTCCCACTTGACCATCTCCTAACGTCAGCATCCAATGTCTCAGCCAATCTCTGCAAACAGCATAGATTGGTTCAATGATATGTCACAAATTAAGAAGCGAGAACTTCCAAAAGTGTAATCTCGCATGTTGTAAAGAGTATTACATTTCTCTCAGCTTGCTCTCTTTGAGCAAGAAGATCACGCATATTTTTTTCTGCCAGAGCCTTTGCCTGAAAGATAAAGGAAAGTGTTGGTCATTTCATAATGTACAGACAAGTCAATCACAAATTATCATGAAGGATCAGAATCATACTGCACGTCCTGCTGTTCTTTGATGCCTCTCTAATCTGGCTTTACATCTTTGAGGCGATTCACCATCAACGCCCCCATTCCTCTCTGAATTAAGAAAATTTCATGCAGAGAACAGATAGCTCAGAAACCAGAAGTATGATCAAATTGCTAAAAAGATACAGGTGGTGAGAAAAGGAATTGTAGCTCTTATAAAACAGAAAGGAAAAAGATGCGCAAATCCCATACCATCATAAGCCGAGTGGTAGGCATATCTTGAATCAAGGGAAGAGCCAAAGCTCTGAGATTGTAGGCTGGGCTGACCCTGGCATCCACCACCCAACTTAAATTTCACATCGTGATAGTGATATGCACTAAATATCAAGCATTATAAAAACACCAGCATAGTATACTTACAGAGGATGAAGACTTCTGTCTCATTTCATTATTTCTCGAAGAAGCAGAGAATTTGTCAGAAACAGATCTTTCCATTCTCTCTCTCACCCCAAAGGAAGTCCTGTCAGACATGGCTTTCTCTGCAGCTCTCTCCCTGGCCTCTGCCGTTGCTCTTTCTACGGCTGCACGCTCTGCCTTTACCCTTGCCTCCATAGTTGCCTTTCCAGCCAATGAATTTTCCCTCGCCTCTGCACAAGCCTTTTCCAATCTTTCACGTGCCTCTGTCAATGCTCTTTGTCGAGCTTCAGCAGTCATCCTCTCCAGAGCAGTCCTTTCTGCCCTTTCACGAGTTTCAGCACCAACTCTATCACGTGGTTCAAGAGCAATTCTATCAATATGCATTCTATCCTTTTCTCTCTCTCTTTCCCTTTCCCTCTCTTCTTCCAATTTTCGAAGCATATCATTCTCAAATTCTGCTTCGCTCCTCACTCTCTCACTCTCTTTTCCTTTAGATTTATGGCTCTGGTTCACAAGCTTTTCCTTTCTTTCTGTGGCCTGATTTGCATTGACCTCATAGGCAAATTCCCCGCTCTTTTGTGTCCTTCCTGAAATAGTTGGCCGAGTTGACTCCATTCCACTTCCTTTCTCAGCCTTTATATTCACCCCCTGAACAGAAACTGTTTGTCCCTCATCTTCAGCCTGGTTAGAGAACTTCACTTTATCTTCCATACGACAAAACAAGTTACTTTCTGGTTGTTCAGGATCACAATCCCTTCTGGTGACAAATGTCTTTCTCCCTACAAACTCTTCCATGCCAACGTTAGATTGGCCTGCTCTCTCACCACTTCTATCCAGAGGAGGTGATGTTTTCATATCATCCATCTTAAGTGCGTTCTCTTCAATTTTATTCTCTCGCTCATCCACACATGTTGAGTTTTCAGATGAAAATGCATCTTCCGAATTAGTTGCTTCTGCTTGTGTATCACCAGGTTTGGGTTGAAAGCTTGTTTCTTTGCCTACTTTTTTGGTCCATTCATTGAAAGAAAGTTGAATATCAGCATCTTCCATTTCCACTGAAACTTTATGATGTTCTATCTCTGCCTGCCTCGCACCCAATGCAGAAGAATTTTTGGAAAATTGCAGATTATCAATTCCATCACTTTCTGATGAAGTTTTATTACCTGTGACGGTAGTCCTCACTCCACTTTCATCTACAACAGAGAATTCTTCAGGCACCCCTATTGAACAAGCTAGTACCGTGGGTAAGTGGTTTTGGTCATCATGCATTTGAAATGCCGCAGCAGATATCCCCAAATCCTTCACTTCCACATATGCTTGAGATCCTATTGTTGAGTTTACTTCGTGTCTGTCACTCAATTTCTCTAATTCATCATGCTCCATACTCGCACCCTTGAGATCTGCACTATATTGTGAATCTTCAACCAACATCTGAGTCACTTTACACTTACCCACATCACTTGGCCTGCGTTCAATGTTCAAACGCTGAAATGAATCCTTAACTCCTATTTCACATTCTTCTCTATACTGAATATTTTTTGACCATTTGTCGTCATCTTCTCTCTCATGAGCTAATTTTGATCTCTCACTTACAACTTTGGCAGCCTCTTTTCCCCTTTTCCCATGATCTTCCTTCCCATGGACACCATCCAGTTCTATTTCACGAGCCACCTGTCTCCTAAAGTTCTCATCCGCAAGAACCAAATTGAGTCTTTTCTTATTTTCTTCTTGCTCGAGGAACATCATCTTTTTTTGCTCAAGCTTTTCCCTTTCAGAAGCCTCCGAGAACAGCTTTTCTCTTTTCTCATTCTCAAGGGCTTCTTCCATTTTATTTGCATTGTTTTCCTTTCTATGAGATTCCTTGAGAATATTTCCATTTTCCTTTCCTTTAACAACCTTCTTCTTTTCTTGTTCGATATCAATTGGTGAAACAGGTTGATCAACTTTTAGCTCACTGTCCAGTTGTTTAAACTCAATACGGTTTTCATGTTTCTCTAGTTCACTAGCATTGGACGTACGCTTTTTTTCTTCCATAAAGTCTTGTGCAACTCCAAATATCCTATCATTTGCTTCAAGATCACAAACACCTTGATGAAGTTTCACCTGCTCTTTTTGCCTAGTCTCGTCTTTATTTGGTTTTAGTTTTATCTTATCTTCCACCTTTCCATGGACCATATTCTCCAAATTTTTCACGTTTTCATTCAGAGCATGAGCCGTATGGAATGGTTTCCCATCCTTGTCTTGATCTTTATCGTTCTCCCATGCTTGAATGATGGTCTCTGCTACTATTGGTCCAGTCACAAAGTTGGAAATCTCATCATTGTCCAACAACTCAAATTCCTTTCCAGATATATCTGCTCTTGCCAATTCAAAAAACTCTGTGGCATCTTTCCATTCACTGCAGCAATCATGATTATCAGACACAAGAAATCTACTCCCATTTCTAATTGATACGGTCTTTTCAGCAACTGTTAATAGTTCCTCTCCTCCAAATAATGTTGAAGAAACCTCAGTTGCCTTCACATCCTTTTGCCTCTTCTCTCCAGCAGGAAAATTCATTTTATGGTCATGAATTTCACCAATACCCTGCACCCTTTCATCGGCAAAACCCTTAAATCGATTTGGAATCTTGGTCAAATTTCCTTCCTTTTCTCTCATATCATATTTTGCATCCAGTCTCATCCGTCCATGGACTCCTTCTTTCTTCCTCTCCCACAAATCTTTTGCACTTTGCAAACGTGCTTGAGCCTTTTCCATTGCTTCTTTCATAGCTGCAGCAGAGGCTGCTGCAGATGAACCAGCGTCGACCTCCACATTAAATAAAGGATTAAAATGATCATCCGAAATTATTTCAGAAGCATCCTCACAATTTAA